AGTCCTTTGCAATTCTCTGCAATCCTCTTTCCGGCTTCCTCCAGTTCAGAAGGACAAGAGTCTTCCCCAAACACGTTCCGACAAAGTAGATTCCAACTGTTAGTCTTATTTAGAAATTGCATACGATGGAGATAGCTATGGGAGCTTTTGTGGACAAGCGAACTTGTTAGACGTGTTGTCAACATGATCCGGCTTCCATTCCCCTCGTCTGGAAATATCCTATTCAAAGAATTCCAAGCTTCAGTAGTCCAAACGTCATCCATCACAACAAGATACCTCCGACCTTTTAAACTTTTATATAGATACTCTCCTGATTCTTCAGCACTTTTCTCTCGATGCATCTCAGCATTGAGTTGTTTCGTGGAATCCAGAAGGCTCAGCAAGACTTCTCGCTCACGATATTCTTGAGAAATTGATGCCCAGGCACGAATGTCGAAATGGTATTCAATAAGTGGATCACTGTAAACATTTCTAGCAAGTGTTGTCTTGCCAATGCCTCCCATGCCAGTAACTTGGATGAATTGAAAAGCAGGTGGATATCCAGTAAGTCGATCACTTATGTCCTCCAAATCTTTACGAAACCCGACCATATCATTCTTGCCGATTGAAGGAAGTCTTGATTGTCCAGTTGGCAAAGAAGTCCTCTGGCTATGGTGCAGATCTGTTGCGCCCCTCAATTCCGTAAGCTTAGCTGCCTTCGTCTTAATGGAATCAATTTCATCTGCTACTATCTCGAAGTTTTCACAAAAAATTCTGTCTCTGATCTGTCTTTCACGAAAACTTTCCTGACCAAAATTCTTTGATATATGGGATTCCATGATATCTTCAATTTTGTATGCTGCATCTCGAATTTCCCTTTCCAAACATCGTAGTTCCTCACTCCTTCTCTGCCAAGAATAATCCAGAAAATCTAGTAAGGATTTCAAATTTTCCTGGAGAGATTTAATTTGTTGGTCCTGAAGAGGAGTCTGATGTTGTTCGAGATGAGGATTTGATATCTGCTCCAGAATCTGATCAACGGATAATACAGCAGCATAAGCCATCTTTGATTGATTTTTTCACAGAATCTGATTGAGAGATAATATCACGAAATTGTAGCCCACCTTAACAAGTGGTGGTTCTTGGAGGTGGAGGTGGAGTTGGAGGTGGAGGTGGAGTTGGAGTTGGAGGAATTGAGTGGAGGGAGGGGACGAAGAAGAGAGTGCAGAGAGAGGAAAAAAAAAGGACCATGCTACACTTACAGACAA